CCCATGCACCCTCACACCCATTACAAAGGAGTTTACAGGTTCCTATAATACCCATCATCCACAAAACTCAATAAATTGATAAATTCTTTTGAAAAAAAATTGTATTGAATCAGTGATTTAAAAAAATCACTTGATTTCTTCTACATGTAGTCTACTCTACATCATTGGTTCAATGGTACATTATTACTGAAGACACTTTTGCATATCTTGATTGATACAGCTGAGATACGTTGTGTATGGATATGAATGAAAACTTGTGATTTATGGTACCTGTATACATGGTATACAAAAAAAATATGACAGTTCTCCATGGATTTGTTGATTTCATAAAAATGCCTCTAATTTCAAAACCGGCGGCACTGATCCTTGTGAAACTTATAGTGTTTGATTAATGGCCCAAGGAGGAGAACAGAATTCAGGCCACGCACCTTGAAAAGGTTTTATATAAATCTCAATCTAAATTTGTAAGGAGAAACGTTAGGACTAAGACTATCAATTGGGAGTGTAAGCCTACAACAGTGCAGTTGATTCACAATATTACTGTAAACAGATCAAGGAATGATTAAAGCAAACGTGAGTGTGCTCTCTTTAAAATTAAAAACTTTGAAGAAAAACTTAACTTTTAAACTCAGATCTTGACTTAATCAAAACAACGATTTTGTGTAATTATGCAAAACCTAAATTGAGTCGATGGTGATGAAGTAGGGGTGTTTGAATGTCTTAACATCATCTTACACTTTGTAATTAAGTGGAATCAGTTGATATGATTAAAGAGACCTCAATCAATTGATTTTGCCAAAAATAAGATTTTTACAAAAAATGATTTAAATCAGTGATTTTTATAAAAAAAATCATTTGATTTAAATCGCGATTTAAATCAGTGATTTAAATCAACGTGATTTAAATCAGCCAACCCTGTCTTTTAAACATCATTTTCAAGTTTAGAGTCATTGAATCAGCTATTCTGAGCTGTAGAATCATTAAAGTAGGATACAATTTTTATTCGGGGAAGAATGATTCATGAACAGGAGTGTTTAGAACTTGATTCGGTTAAAACTTTTGCTCTACATGTAGCTAGGCGCTACAGGCAAAAAAATCAAAGTGCGCTACGTTAGGGACCGTGCCACGTTAGGGTACATGTACATCAACAATGTCCTGAAATCATCAGGTGAGTAAAAGTTCTTTCATCTTCAGCCTCAAGTGGTCATGTATAAAATGCACTTTACGTGTAAGAGTAGATGCCTAAGGGTCCACTCATACATACACCAACAGTTCATTTCTTTGCTCTATGATGCTCATACATGCACAGACCTGTGCTGAAGGAGAGTGCATTCTGACCTTACAGCAAAATGCATCCAATTCCTTAATGATGGAAAGTCGGTCAGGAGCCGGTACATTCACCCGTTGGTATGTCGTCCAGTGGTCTGCATCTACCATGTCTACGCTTGCGTCAGTTCCCAGTATTGATGGATCTTGTTCCCAAGGCAATGTTATATGTTGTAAACCACTTACACAGTGCAGTTGTTGGTTGCTAAAAATGGAATGCCGGTTGGCAATATTGACATCCTGTATCTGGCACTACCGGGTCGATAGTCAGAGTTCAAATCTTGCAGGTTGGACATTTGTTGATGGATTGATTAAACGCATCCGATCTGTAATGACATACATTTTACTGGGTCGTGGCTTGAAGCAATTGGATTTGACATCTATTAAGTTTTGGGGCAATATAGCATGACAAACCTTATACAAAGCCATAACGGTCATAAATTGTGATAAGGTTTATTTAATGGACAATTTATTACTAAATTGTAATAACGTTTGTTTAATGGACAATTTATTACGGCATACCAGTATGTGTACATGTATACATGTACATGTATACTCAAAAGTACAAAAATACATGGACTGCATATGCACATGGTATGAGGTGCATGTACCGTACGGTGCACTGTATACCGGTGATACCGTACATGTATGAAACAAGTACACAATGTAAAGGGATGATGTTATGTATTTTTTAATGCAATACTTAAAAACGCACCTTTGTGTCCCATTTAACCTCATTTTCAATTTTCATTTTGCCATTTTTAAGGGTGTTTTGGTGCCTTTTTGGTTTTTATGCTAATGAAAAATTCCATATTCATGAGCAAAACTGTGATGTCATTTCAGGCAGAAACCTCAACAGCTATTTCAGTACAGTGAGTAGTGAGTACGGTACCAAAATTTGTACTTTGGTGATTCATTGTTGTTTCAGTACCGGTACATGACATGAGCAAGTTTTCTCACAAATGTTTTCAGTGAGCAAATTTTGGGTTCACAATTTGAACAGAAAAACCCTAAACTGAACAGTGTCTTCCTGAAATGACATCACAGCAACAGTGCCCTCATTTGTCAAAAAAAGCATGGGAAATTTGAAATATTCAATAAAGTGCACTTTTCAATAAAATTAACCAAAAAGGAATGTCAAGTAGTTTTCATACATGTACATTTGAGAGGAGTAGTGTATGGGTTTTACATGTATTCACGAGTCGGCCATATTAATTTGAAAGTGAGGTAAAATCTTCATTTTTTGGAACTTGCGAAGAGAAATGAAAGCAATGACATAAAGTTAAATTTACAAACTAATACCAGTCTGCTCTAATGAATAATTTAAAATTGTGATTAAACATACCTAATGTTTTAAGCCACATTTAATTTATCAAATACATTCAAGGAACACAACAAAAAAATTGGTTTCCTCATGAATATGGTCCATTACATAAATTTACACCGTATGCACAAGGCATGCATCCTCATAAAGTTTTGCAGATACTGTACAGGTTGTTTGAACTACATGTATACCTGTACCCTTTAAAGGGAATATACAACATTTGCAAACATCCAAAAATAAAACTACCATGTTTTTGCGAAATACCTTAATAGGATGTTGGTAAATGACAGTCTAAAGCATCCTGTAAAATTATGGCACCTGGTATACTGTCATTTTCAAGAAAAGTGGTATTTTTGTATCAATTTCCAACGCTGATCGGCCGATCAGCGTTGGAAACAACTGGCTTTTTTCAAATACTGGCCCCAATTGACCATTGCACTTGTTTGCAATCGATTACAAACCTATGAACGGGTACGAGCCAGCTAGACTGGTTCCCTGACCTTACAATTCCCCAATGTATGTAAACTGCTCTGTTTCTTCTTATATGGAGTCGGGGAACCAGACTACAGGAAAATGATCGTTTTTCTTGGTTTTTATAGCATTTTCGAACCCAAAACCTCCAAAAAGTCAGTGTAACTATATTTGCTTTATATTTCCAACCCCCCAATTCCATCCATTTCTGAAAATTACAGCAAAAGCAAATGATGTATATTCCCTTTAAGCAGACAAAAAAGTCACACACAATTACTTGCATATATGTACGGTATGTTGATAATGGCTTTTTAAAACCACAACACAAATCATGTTTACGCCACTACAGTGGTGTAAACATGATTTGTGTTTGTGGTTTAAAAGAAAAAATTAAAATATTTTTGTTCTTATGAACATACTCATTATAGACTAACAAAACAGGGGGGTTTTCTATTCAACATGAAAAAAAGGAAAAAAGACACTCTTTCAAATCAAGTTGTTTCTACCCTTTAAAGGGAATGTACAACATTTGCTTTTGCTGTAATTTTCAGAAATAAATGGATTTGGAGGAATAGTATGTTAAAGGAAATATTATAACACTGACTTATTTCATGACTCATGTTCTTGTAGTCTGGTTCCCTGACCCCACTTAAGATGAAATGAAGCAATTTATAGGCGTTGGGAATTATAAGGTCAGAGAATCAGTCTACCAATAGCTTGCTTGTACCCCTTCACAGGTGTGTAATCATTTGCAAAGAAAATGCGGAATAACTAATTATGAATAATTAGGAGCAGTTTTTGAGAAAAAAAAAGCCAGTTCCTCCAACGCTGGTTGGCCCATCAGCGTTGGAAATTGATACAAAAATACCACTTTACTTAAATATGTCAGCACACCAGGAGCCATGATTGTACGGGATGCGTTAGACTGTCATTCCCTAACAGTCCAGTAAAGAATTCAGTGGTAATTTGATCATTTTATTTTTTGATGTTTGCAAATGTTGTGTCTTCCCTTTAAGCAGACAAAACGTGTTGATAATTGCTTTTGTGCAGCCAAAAAATCTGAGAAATGTGAAATTTCTAGTATTTCTTGAACACAATGTTAACAGTTTCGTGCTTGGAATCCACACTGAGGCATAGCATTATTTTTTTTATATATCAAGTGATACAAATTTTGACAAAAGAGTTGAGTTGAGTCAAGGCCCTTAGGTCAATTTGAGTGGAGCGATGAAAATTACACACATTCATGTTTGCATTCCAAACAATATTTACAGGAAATGTTTGAATGTAATGCATACGTTCCCAACATTGCCCAAGTGTGAGAGTTTGTAATTCACAAGAGAAGAGGAAATGAAATTGACACAGGCATTAGCAGCGGCAGCCTGGTTACCACGGCAATCACGGCAATGTATACATGTACACTTGAACAATATTTAATGTATCCCTCCCCCGTTTCCGTTCCTTGGCATGCGTAGGCTGATGATGATTGTGGTGGAGATGAAGATGATAAAGTCATCATCGTTCCTCCATCTACATGTTCATGTCTCCAAGGTGTTGTGTAGTATCCCGTGGCACATCATTTGATTAAAGCTCGTTCTACAGTAGTGTTGCTGCACAATATCCTCTCCCCCCTCCCCCCCCCCCCCATCTCTTGTCTGCCGGCTGACATTCTTCCCACGCCACAAGTGATTGAAAGCTCCCTGTTCATAGTAAGACAGCATCATCTCAAGTGTGAAAAAAAGGGTTGCTGACTTGATATGCGACTTGAGAAAAAAAGCCGAGGGAAAAAAGGCAAATCGATTAAGCTTTTTTTTCTTTCCTTTTTTTGCATCTTCCGCCTACGTGGTTGTTCTCTCTTGAACGTGATGGTGCAAATGGAAAGGGTCATCATGATCAGCACAATTTGAAGCCAAACACGAGCTGCATTCAAATTCCTTCACGGAAGAGTGGGCCTACATATGCGTACATGTAGGTAGCTGTACGATTGCTTGTTTTGATAATTTGCGGGTTGATGTATTCAGTTTGTCATCTGAGCTGGGAAAAGTTAAGAGTGTTTGCGTTGAGACCGGTACAGTGAGAGATTGGAGATGCACTTTAGACAGTTTGTGTCTGCAGTCAATACATGTACCGGTAAGTGTGAGTGCTATGACAGGGGAGTCTGTTTGCATTTTTCTCCAGTCGTGTCTGAGTGAATGGTAGATACATTGTCCTGTACTGTACTGCACTCTTTGCTCATTGAAGAATCTGTGCAGAAGAGCTACAATGTACATGTACATTTGTACATTATGTACCGGTACATGCTAGATTGGAAGTGTCTATTGCCTCAGTCATTAGACCCCGAGGCATTACATTCTGAGACCTACTCTGGGGAAAGAACTCATTTGTAGGTATTTGCCTTCATACTTTAGCAGATGATCAAAACTTGACCTTGTTGACCAAATGTAAGGTTCTACTACATTGTTAATCAAAGTCGTCATGAATTGCATACACGGTCAGTTACAGCATAGGGCAAGGATCTGTTCCTTGATCTATGTTTAAAGGTAGAGTACATCATTTGCAGCTATCCAAAAAGTAACTGAAGAAATTATTGTTGAAAAACATACTTGGTTTAAAGATGGTAATGGTACTAAACTCCCTGTGAAATTATTCTTTCTGGTCATTTGGAAGAAAACAATAAAAGAAGGCCTTTTCCAACCATGCGTCTAAAGACGCATTTTTGGAAATTTCCATTAGTAGTTCATTTTTAATTCTGCAAAGCACATGTGCGCTGTTGCTATTATTCATCAGTTCAGTGCGTGACATCGTGTACCTGCAATCAACTGAATGACAACGTGTCCCGGACACTGATTTCGTGCGCAATTCAAAACATGACTCGGCAACTTTTGAATTGAAATCAAGATACTAGAATATTGTTTTCTCAGAATGTACAGCATTCACTTCATCAGGTTAGTTGTTCAGCACCCTTCTTTAGATTTTGAGCACTTTTGTTGCATCAAACGAAAAAAATGCACAAATGTGCTAAGTAGAAGGTACTGGTAGTTGATTGTATTGACATACATGTACATAGTACTACAGAAGTTTCCGACCTTAGTAGTGGGTCAAGTTACCGAAATGCAAGAACAATTTATTTCTTAAAAGCACATTGTATCCTAGAGGTCAAATTCAAACTGTGCATACCTGTAAACATGGTAAATATTGAAGTTTCAGAAGTGCATCCAACAAACCAAGGGGTCTGTGCTCCATTGCAAATGGTTGCAGTCGTTGCACATTGTTAAATTTTTATCCCAAAGCGTACATACTGGTACTTTACATGTATTCCGAATGCCGATGCACTCAATTATGCAAAAGGGCCATGGCAGTCAGAAACTACATGTACCGTACATGCAAGTGACACTACATACATGTACATGTACAGTACTAGTACATTATTTACATAATTTTAGTATAAGCTGTAACCATAAAGTCCATTATAATCCATAGATCTATTTGTGTGCTCAGTTCATTAGATAAACTACAGACATGCAGATAAGAATTGTATCTTTTGCAAGTAAATGTAGACACTACAGTACATGTACATGTATGTGTACAAGTTAATTAGTGTGCATACATGTACAATTAAAGGAATATAGGATCAATTGCGTTTATCCCAAAGTAACCTAATGGTACCAAATTATTATCAAAAAGCTAACTTGGATTAAAGATCGTGCAGGAACTAAACACCCCATGAATTATTCCATCTGGCTTGCTGAGTCTAGAAGATATCAAGAAATGATATTAATCTCCAACTATCGGTCACTTGAATGATCTTTGGAAATAACGAGTACTATCCATGAAATCGTGTTTCGTGATCAAAAGGTCATGCATAGTGTTTCACTATTCTCGAAAAGTTATCCACTGAGCTGAAACTTCAACAGGTTAGATTTTGAACATTCTTTCTTGGATTTTAAGTGGTTTTAGTATTGGAAACAAACAGAATGCATGGAAAGCAAATGAAACTGCCTTTCAAGCAGTGAGTATCTCAGGTTTCTAAACATGCACCCACTAAATTACAGGAGCTGAACTGGGTCCAGTGATTTCTATGCTAGTCAAGTTGAAGTTGCATTGATTATTGAGAAAGTTCCACAAAATCATGTGAGACTAGAGTTACCAGTACAAGTGCATGTACACATTCCTCCAAATATTTCATTGCTCTGTTTTTGCAAGAAGATGTACAATGTAGTCGCGATTCCTCCAAGATCTATCTCTGTGCATGAACATACATGTAATGGCACATTCATTGTACAGTGAAATCTCAATAAGTCAAACCTGCTAACTCGAAAACTCTTCTAACTCACAGTAAGAACTTATTCCCGTCAATTGTTGTTGAAAAGAAAATCCATTTGCTAACTCAAAACTCTGCTTAACTCAACATTTTGAGCCCATTCCCCTGAGGTTTGACTTATTGAGATTTCACTGGAGGCATTATATTAAGATCCAGGGCTCTACATGTGTCTTCCTCAATCCTGCAACATCTTCCAAAATCTATTAAAGTGCATGTTAGTGTAAAGAAGAATTATTCAGTTATGGGTAGTGTGGAACTTAAGCGCAGCTTGAACTGAAACTTGACTGTATCTGTTGTGAGGAATTTTGCAAGTTAAAGGGAATAAACAAACAACATTTGCTTTTGCTGTAATTTTCAGAAATGGGATAGATTTGGGGGTTAGTATTTTATAGCAAATATTGTTACACTGACTTGTTTGAAGTTTTTTGTTCGTAGATGCTGGAAAAACCAAGAAAAACAATCGTGTTCCTGTAGTCTGGTTCCCTGACCCCACTTAATATGAAACAGAGCAATTTAGCGACGTCAGGGAATTGTAAGGTCAGGAGACAGTCTAGCTGGCTTGAAGATGTTCATACAGTGTACACATACATGTGTAATCGATTGCAAACAAAATGCAGACTAACTGAATATGGTCAATTGGGGGCAGTATTTGAAAAAAAAAAGGTGTTTTTTTCCACCGCTGGTCGGCCGACCAGCGTTGGAAATTGATACAAACATATTACTTTTCTTGAAAATGACAGCACACCAGGTGCCATGATTTTACAGGATGCTTTAGACTGTCATTCACTAACAGTCCAGTGAGGTATTTCATAATAATTTGGTAGTTTTGTTCTGTGATGTTTGCAAATGTTATGTATTCCCTTTAAATATCCTGTACACTTTCCATTCATAAGGATTAAAGGGAATATATACAACATTTGCAAACATCGGAAACAAAACTACCACATTTTTGCGAAATACCTTACTATGATGTTGGTAACTGAAAGTCTAAAGCATCCTGTAAAATTATGGCACCTGGTGTGGAGTCATTTTCAAGAAAAGTGGTATTTTGTATAAATTTCCAACGGTGGTCGGCCGACCACCGTTGGGAAAAACCTGACTATTTTCCAACTACTGGTCCAAATTTACTATTTTTTTCAGTCCAAATTTTGTTTGCTGTTGGTTACATGTTCATGAACGGGTGCAGGCCAGCTTGACTGGTTCCCTTACATTACAATTTTCCGGCATCTATAAATTGATTCATTTAATTTTATTGGAGTCAGGACACCAGACTACTTGAACATTTTTGTTTTTCTTGATTTCCAGCATTTTCGAACACAAACCTTCAAACTCGTCAGTGTAACAATATTTGATCTATTATACTAACCCATCAAATACTTCATTTCTGAAATTTACAACAAAAACCAATGATGTACATTCCCTTTAAAGGACAAATTGGACATAAGAAAATTGATGAAAATAAGAGTTACTGAAACTGTAATGTAAAGGTTTAAGTTGCTGGTACAATGAAACTGAAGGTTTCTTTGTCAAAACGTAAACTGCCATTTAAAAAAGTGAAAGCCAGTTGTTTATTTTAATAAGTTATGTACATTTATCTAACATGTTCTGTAACAATTGACACTTGGGTCCCACTCGGGTAAAAAAATAACTGCTTTGTTATTCAGAACAAAACATTGCAACTGGCATGAAATTAAAGCCTTTATTGCGCTCCCCGTAGGCTACTTGTCAACAAATTCCATTTTCTTTTCTCTCTTAATATTATGTTTTATCCTCACAAAAAAAACTTCTTTTAAGGCCCAAAAAAAAGTCTCCGGTTTCTGGTCTGTGCGCGCATCGCCGTAGGCATGCGCGTCGCCAAAATTAAAAAGTTTTTCAATATAAAGATGATGTCTCAAAACCAGTGATGTAGTGCCTTGATGCTGGGCCTTGGCCTTAAGGCTGCCTTAAGGCTGGATTTTAGGGCCTTGGCCTTGGCCTCGAGGCTTGAGGGCAAAAGCCTTGGCCTTGAGGGTTCAGGGCCTTGCAATTTTGAGTCAAGGCTCTTCAAGGCCCATAGATTTTTGCATTTTCCAGATAAATCTGTTCGAAATGTTGCTGTTACCATTTTAATCGTATTACCATGGAGGAGGGAAACCCCTTGTAGATTTGTGTGTTGGGCACACTTCCACTTTTATAGCATCACATGTTGTTACCATTGTAGTAGATTTGCTGCAAAAATATTCTGTACACTTGTGGGGCTAATGAGATGATCACTTAAATTGCATACAATTATGGAATAGATCTGATTGGTTGTATGTCTCCCTGATAAGTGCTAAAGATTTGCATGTTTCTGTTTTAGATAATGCTGATATTTCTGACCATGTTGGCCCAGCAAATAAAAATTTCCCAAATCAGTTTCTTGGATCCCCCTTTTGTTACACTCGGGAGAATTGTGCGTCAATATAGAAGTAAATCTTTATTTTGTTTTAGTTAAACCATATTGAAGACCTGAACTTATACTTTAATAGATCTAATGCAGTCATAAAACGGTGTATGCGAGCATGTTGATTGCAATTTAAGACATGTTGTTCTTCTTAATGGGCGATTCGTGATAATGTGTCATGTGACTATAATTAGTTCTATATCAGTGGTCATTTTATAAAACAGG